TCGTATATTTTCGTGAAGTATATTGACACGTTGATAAGATTAGGTGGGCCAATTTCGAATAAATTCGTAGCAAAAAAAAAAGTCTTTTATAGACAAAAAAAACAAACAAACTTCAAAAACTATTTCACCTGAATTAACACAGTTTACAAATCACGCACTTCACAATTTGAACAACAACCAAAAAAGTAAAAAAAATACTGACGAAATTGATAAAAAAAAAACACAAACCAATCAAGTGCGTTGATTGACATTTTCTTTTTTTGTTTTTGGTAAAATTTGTTGTTTTTTTTTATCATCAAAATTAGATTCTCTTAGAGAAAACAAATGCGATTATATCAACAACAACAACAAAGAAAAAAACAAAAATAATTTCAATTGTTTCGTTTTCACGACAACCGATATTTTCTCTTCGCGTTTGGTTTCATTGCATGAATTTGTTTGCAAGAAAATTGTGAAAAGTAAAAAAAAGAAAACCCTTGTGATTGAAATACTCCGGATGCAATATTTAAGTATGTTTACTTAAGTTTAAGTAGAGGTATGTAAGTGAGTTTCTTCGTGTCGAATGCGAATGCCGTGTAAATACTGTGCAAACATGTGTTTCGTTTACCATTAAGTTATCAATGTTTCTTTCGTTCTTCTCTCTCTCTCTCTCTCTCTATGTCCGTCTCTACATCTCTGTGACCCCAATTAGTTAGACTGCGTGTAATTAACACTCGTCTTTATCGCAGTTTTTGAGGATAAGAGAATGTGTTTGTATGTTTGATGGAAATGGAGAGAAAGAAAGAGAGATGGAATGGAATGGAAGCATATTTATGTATTATATAAATGTAGTGAGAAGGAGTTAGAGAGAGAAAAATACCGTGTAAATATTATTTTTAAAGTTAGCTGTAGTCAAATATTGTCACTATTAAGTAGATGAGATGAGATTATTACGATTAATGGAGACGAATGTGTAACGTTCGCGCGTTATTCACGAGTGGAACGAACGAAGAAGTGAATCCGTACTACAAGAAAATAAAATGATTATATTATGTACATAAATTTAAATAAAAAGAAATTGTATATCATACGTGGAGGAAACAAAAGGAAACAAATGAAACGCTCACGCATCGGCCCCCCCTGATTGATTTATCGAAGAATAAAGTTTAATTGATTTTAATAAATAAGAAAACTTTTTTTTTTTACTTTCCTTTATCCTTTTTATCCTTAGAAACGAACTTTATTTATTGAATTTTTGTTGGAAATTATCGAAAATCAAGTTACAAATTTAATATAGAAAGTAAAAATTTCTTAAGATATTATTATCTTTTTAAGAAAACGTTTTTTTTACTTTCCTTTATCTTTTTCATCCTTAGAAACGAATTTTATTTATTGAATTTTTGTTGGAAATTATCGAAAATCAAGTTACAAATTTAATATAGAAAGTAAAAATTTCTTAAGATATTATTATCTTTTTTTAAAAGATTTTTAAAAAAATTGACAAAAATATATTTTGTTTGGAATATGAGTTGATTATGAACATTTATGAGTTTACTGTGATCATTTAGTGTTTAGTTGTGATCGTTAAAGCTTTGATTATTGCATTTTTTTTTAAATAAATCACTAAATTTCGTTGATTTTTTTGTCGGAAATGATTAATTTACATTTAAAGTGTAATTACGTAATAAATTATCAATAAATTTATTGTGCAAATAATGTAATTAACAATGTTCAGTTTCTTTAAGTTTTCTTGAAATCTGTTGAAGATAATTTTTGAGTGTGTATAGTCAAATTGAAGCTAAATCTGTGGAGTCTTCAATAAAAGTGTACGTGGAACGTTGCGATCGACGAGTGTCGAGTTGTTGAGCCTCGAAGCGTAAAATGAGTCGTATTTGTTGTTCAAATTTGATTTGGGATTAATTTGCAATCCGGGACGCGAAAAGCCGAAACGCAAATAGGGCCTCCGGGAGAGACGACGACGACACCCTCGCTGTTTGACCAGAGATTTAACTTGCAGAGGAGATGCGCAGATCCTCAAAGGGATGCTTCTAAATGCACTTTTTTTGTTGCTGTGTGTGAGGTGTTTCATTCTCGTGGATGAATGAATGAATGGATGGATGGATGGAAAACGAGTGAATTAGTTAATAATGTACGACGGCGGGATTCCGACATCAATCCCGGCGGTAAAATACAGCGAAATCCACTATTACGTTGAGAGCGCGGATCAAGGGTGCGGATTCGATGATAAATTAAGGGAACAAGGAGAGCGATAATGTGTGTGTGTGAGAGGGCGCAAATTGAACGGACAATTTCCACGCATTCATCGGACGGAAATTGATTAAGGGATTCTCTCGCCCCCGCACTCCAATTCTTCGCCACCAACACCACTACTATACAAAAGGGAAGAGAACTTTTCTTTGTCATCATGAAAATAGTTTGTCCGTCGAAAACGGTGCTAAATTTTCGTTGATAACAACAAGAAAAACCCTTAAAATTGGTAAATTTAAGAAGAAATAAGTCGAAATTGCGTCACGAAATGTTTCTAATTGTAGCTGGAGTTTAAACAAAAAAAATTCAAGAAGGCGTATAAAACAAAAAATTTGAAAAATGTGCATCCATAATGATATATTATTGGTTACTGTTGCCATGGAAATGAAACGTCGGTGTAAGTATGAATCGATGGAACAGTTAAAATTGGTAAATTTAAGAAGAAATGAATCGAAATTGCGTCACGAAATGTTTCTAATTGTAGCTGGAGTTTAAACAAAAGTTTTTCAAGAAGGCGTATAAAACAAACAAAATTTGAAAAATGTGCATCCATAATGATATATTATTGGTTACTCTTGCCATGGAAATGAAACGTCAGTGTAAGTATGAATCGATGGAACAGTTAAAATTGGTAAATTTAAGAAGAAATAAGTCGAAAATGCGTCACGAAATGTTTCTAATTGTAGCTCGAGTTTAAAGAAAAAAATTTCAAGAAGGCGTATAAAACAAAAAATTTGAAAAATGTGCATCAATAATGATATATTATTGGTTACTGTTGCCATGGAAATGAAACGTCGGTGTAAGTATGAATGGATGGAACAGTTAAAATTGGTAAATTTAAGAAGAAATAAGTCGAAATTGCGTCACAAAATGTTTCTAATTGTAGCTCGAGTTTAAACAAAAAAAAATTCAAGAAGGCGTATAAAACAAACAAAAATTGAAAAATGTGCATCCATAATGATATATTATTGGTTACTGTTGCCATGGAAATGAAACGTCAGTGTAAGTATGAATCGATGGAACGGTTAAAATTGGTAAATTTAAGAAGAAATAAGTCGAAATTGCGTCACGAAATGTTTCTAATTGTAGCTCGAGTTTAAACAAAAGTTTTTCAAGAAGGCGTATAAAACAAAAAAAGATTGAAAAATGTGCATCCATAATGATATATTATTGGTTACTGTTGCCATGGAAATGAAACGTCGGTGTAAGTATGAATCGATGGAACGGTTAAAATTGGTAAATTTAAGAAGAAATAAGTCGAAATTGCGTCACGAAATGTTTCTAATTGTAGCTGGAGTTTAAACAAAAAAAAATTCAAGAAGGCGTATAAAACAAAAAATTTGAAAAATGTGCATCCATAGTGATATATTATTGGTTACTGTTGCCATGGAAATGAAACGTCGGTGTAAGTATAAATCGATGGACCAGTTAAAATTGGTAAATTTAAGAAAAAATGAATCGAAATTGCGTCACGAAATGTTTCTAATTGTAGCTCGAGTTTAAACAAAAGTTTTTCAAGAAGGCGTATAAAACAAAAACAAAATTGAAAAATGTGCATCCATAATGATATATTATTGGTTACTGTTGCCATGGAAATGAAACGTCGGTGTAAGTTTGAAACAAACGAACGAAAAAACAAAAAAAAGGTGTCGAAATTGTGAATGCTCAATCGAGTGGACAGATTAGACGATCGTAAAATTGAATAAGTGGTATCGAGCTAAAGCTAAAGTTATTGCACGCGCTCGAAATTCGTGAGTCGACGCTTATCGACGAGCAAATGTGGAGTAATGGAAGAAGGATGGAGCGATGGGCGGAATTTGTGTTGCCGACAAAGTGAGCTATGATAATACGTGTTTTTTTTTTTGGTGATCATTTCAATTATTTATCATTTACTTTTATAAATAATACACGATTGATTATTGTCTGTTTTACTGTGATTCCACTCGAGATGATTGCTACCGTGATTTCGTTTATCTAACACAAACATGTGTATAGTCTCATCGAGAGACAACATTATTACATTTTGTAAAAAAAAAAAAATTTTTAAATTTTAAAATTTTTTTCATTCAATTTTTGAAATTGAAAACGAATATCAATAGATTATTAAAAGCATTATCCTTTTATTGAGACTGAGTAAACAATCTCTGTATGGGGGGGTGAGTTAATAAATTTTAAACGATCCCAAAACGTGGGGCGTTTTCGCCCCTCGCTTTGCTTTGCTCTATTAGTTGTATCTTTTCTCTTCTGTTGTCTGCTGTAGAGAGTTTTAATGTGAAATTTGCGGACGAGACGATAATGCGGGGATTACTTTCTACCCTCCTCTTTTGGTACACTCATTTATCGTCGTCGGTGCACGATAAATATTTGGGACCATTAGATTAATCCAGAAACCTTTGAATTCTGTCAAACCAGACGACCGTCGTTTGTATTAATCATAGCCAACTGTTATTGAATCCCATAACCATATTCACAATTGTGATTTTCCCATGATTCAAACAGAAACCGATAATTCATTATGAAACTTAATCAAACTTGAAATATGCATGAATTTTCATTGAAAAACTAAGAATTAATACTTATTTCCAACTATATTAATTGCAATTTTGTCGGTTTTGATCAAACTAAAGACATGACTATTGAATCCCATTATGAATTTCATTATGAAACTTTACATGCAAATCTTAATCAAATTTGAAAAATGCACGAATTTTCATTGAAATTCA